CGAGTAGTAGTGACCAAGAACAATCCCGGGAACTCAAATTTGCTGCTAAATCGAATTTGGCTTTATGCTATTTGAAATTGGGTGATTATGACAAATGTAAAAGAGCATGTGACAGCGCTTTAATATTCGATTCACAAAATGAAACATGTCTCTTTCGTCGTGGTCAATGTCACTTGGCATGGGGTTATTTTCATGCAGCTATTCGTGATTTTGAAACTGTTCTCAAATTGAATCCAACAAATGATGCTGCAAAACAGCAAATGCAAGAGTGTCAACAACAAATTCAAGCGTATGAAGCCAAGAAAAAGGAATCGTACAAATCCATTCCTAAAACAGAGGTCAAGGAGCATACCAAGGACAAGGTCAGAAATGCATCTCATCCAATAATGTCAAAAAAAAACTCTTCTTTTTCTAGACTAACGCAACCGAGACAAGTGTGAAAAGGGACGAAAAATCGACTGAATTCACTTGATTGTCGGACATATTTAGCTCGTCGTTCAGTTTTTACTGTCGATTTGAACAAAAACTGTCGAACAATTCTTATATACAACTTTTTTTTTCGTTCATTCCTATTTTCTTGCTTCCAATGTGTGACAACTCGAAATTCTAAATAGATAATTCATCTGCTATATCATTACATCGTATTTGTTTCAAAATAAAAGACAAAGTGTCATTTTTCGAATAACTCTGGATCGGAATAAGATAGAGACCTGCAGTTTTCACTATTAGAAAGAACAACATCAGGACAACAAAAAGAGATGTCAAATACATAATCGATCAGATGAATTTTCATTGAACATTTTGTGAACGACTTTCTGAAGCAAATTTTGGGTATACTTTGGATATTCAATGGAACTATTCGATAGAAAAAAGTGTTCACTTTCGATTATGAAAGTGTAAATGAGAGCTGCTTCGAAAAAAGTATAATTCCATTAGATGAAATGTTTATTCCATGATAAAATAAATAAACAGATGAATAATAATATAATAGATGGTTTCGACCATTAAGCCGTCATTATTAAGAAAACGATGTAAAAACCATGAAAACTCAAATCTACGTATATCTATGAATAAGCTAGAGAGAAGAAAAAATGAACATATGAAACGTCAATGGTATTGAAACGAAAAGATCAACCATTGTAATCAGAGAAGTTGATGGCCTGGATGTGGATGTGGCCCCTGGTGCTTAATGTTTCTTGTATCCACACTCACATCTTAGCACAAAACAATGAAAGTACAAATAACATAGACCAACTCATTACAACAAATAATCATGAAATTTGTGTCCGCAAATTCGAATCCCCCAGGTAGACAGAATCAATAAAAAAACGCGTAAAAATGCACAAAATATGAATGCATTATAACTTTCAAGCGCATTTTTCATGGTTTGCGGTGGGGTGTGGGTGTGGGTGTGGGTGTGGGTTGGTGTGGGTGTGGGTGTGGGTGTGAGGTGTGGGTGTGGGGTGTGGGTGTGGGTGTGGGTTGGTGTGGGTGTGGGTGGGTGTGGGTGTGGGTG